AGGTTTTTTTGCAGAGAGATATTGGAGTGGTCCCTAATAAAAGGATTGAAGAGGGGAATGTTTCCTCCTTTTGCTAAGCTGATGACAGGAACTTAGAGAAAAATTGCATTTGAAGGGCTTGAGATTGTGTTTCCTGATGTTTGAGGGTTATTGGAGCCTTGCCGTCTGGGAATGCCTGAGCCAGGAAGCAGGAGGCTGCAGTGGGCACTGGTCCTGTATGGCAGCATTAGGAGGAGAGCTTATTGTCCAGGGTCAGCCTGTTCTCTGACAGTTTGACAGGTAAGAATGTTGGGTGTGAATGGTGGGCTCTGTGGACCATATGGAGGCAGCTGGATGGGGTTATTTTGAGAGGGACCCCATCCAAACAGACTGTGTTGTAGGGGCTGGGGTTGGCCATCAACGGGAACAATTGAGTTTACTCTGAGAACCTGGTGCTGAGTGGGAACTCACAAAGCAGACACTGGAAAAGGCATCGCTTGTATCCAAAAGCTGTCAGGTGAGAGATTCATCAGTGATGGGGATTTCAGAGAACCCACATAAACACGAGGCTCTGGCTTTCATCATGACCCAGGAACACTGATAAAAATAACAGCTATGCCTTTAAAGAAATTTATGTGTGTGTTTTTTTAGGCACATTTCTTCTAATCACCAGTTTTCTAGTGCTGTTTCCCTGGAGGGGCTCCACACAGTATCCAAATGGAGGAGGTAGAATAGCACTAAAGAATCCTAAAACTAGAGAATCCTCCGTTGCAGATAGCTCAGCCTGGATTTTTCAGGGAAGACAAGTTTTAAATTAGAAGAGACTTATGAGTTTCACGACTACCCTGGCCTTTGGGATGTTTTTGTTTTGGACAGTTTTAATCGGTTCTTTATTCACCTTAGCTCACTAAAAGATCCTATAAATATCCTATAACATAACCACCAACCAATAAGTGATACACGTTATCTGTCTTAGCATAGTTTTTTTTCTTTAAAGTAGAATTATAATGGTTATAGACAGTCAGAAGTAATGACAAACAATCTAAACAAGACTTTTGAAGTTATCCCTCTGACAGGTGCATGTAGGGAAAAAAGCAGATCGTAAGAAGTTGAGAATCCATTTATGATCTGTTTGAGATACTATTTGTAGTGAAATTTGCTCTCCTCCATTAGAGTAAATAACTTTCATTTACAGATACAAAATTAAGTACACAACTGTCACCTCTATGTTATGGTGACATAACTGACCTATGACATTCCCATGAAAACTGTAGAGTTAACCTCCAACCCCAAGCAGTAGGAAGCATCAAGTCGTTTACTCTAGGTCAAAATTTTAAATTATTCAAGGTTTTTATTAAGCAGTATTCCCCTCCCTATAAGTAATTGTTCAGGCTCAAACCAAATAAAAACTCATTAAGACTGCAAAAGAGGTAAGAAATGCAAATTAAACTACACCAAGATTCTATCTCACTTCAGTCAGAATGGCAATTATCATGAATACAATGAATGTTGATGAGAATGTGGGGAAAGAGGCACACTCATACATTGTTGGTGGAACTGCAAATTGGTGCAACAAGTATGGAAAGCAGTATGGAGATTCCTTAGAAAACTTGGAATGGAACCATCATTTGATCCAGTTATCTTACTCCTTGGTCTATACCCAAAGGACTTAAAATCATCATACTATAGTGATGCAGCCACATCAATGTTTATAGCAGCTCAATTCCCAATAGTCAAGCTATGGAACCAACACAGGTACCTCTAAACAGATGAATGTAAAAAGAAAATGTGGTATGTATACACAATGGAATAATACTGGGCCATGAAGAAGAATAAAATTATGGCATTTGCTGGTAAATGGATGGAACTGAAGACTATCATGCTATGTAAAATAAGCCAATCCAAAAAAATAAAAAATAAAGGCCAAATGTTCTCTCTGATATGTGGATGTGGACTCACAATAAGAGGTGGGAGGATAAGTTCATTGGATTAGACAAAGGGAAATGAAGGGAAGGGATAGGAGATGGGAACAGGAAAGACAGTAGAATGGATTATACATTCCTTTCCTATGTTCCTATATGAATACAGGACCAGTGAAACTCCATATCATGTACAACCACAAGAATTGTGAGCTACACTCTATGTATGTCTAACATGTCAAAATACGCTCTCCTGTCATGTATATCTCAAAGAACAAATTAAAAAATACTTCCTCTAAGGGATTGGGAACCTCAAACATCACTTCAGAATCAGATTTCTAAAATACATAAACCTCTAAGTACTGTGCTCTGCATCAACTGGTGTGGGAAATGAGCATTGGGGGGTTATGCTCGACAACGTATGTTTAAAGAGCCTTTTGAGGAGATTTCTCTAGTTGAGTAGAAGCCTATAAAAAGTTGGCAGGCACTGTGAACCTAAAGAGAAGACATAATGTTCCTCTGAATGACTTTACTGTTTGAATTGCAAATTCATATCGGGAGAAAAGTTTTATTGGCAACTTAAAATGCGAAGTATTTTATTTTCAAACTTCTCAAGCCTAAGTAATAAAGTTTTCCAAAGCTGAATGTATTCATTTGGTGCTCAGTTTTTCTACTTGAAATTTAATAAAAAGAAAAAAAAAAAAAAAACTTTCCTAAACCTGTAAACATTAGAACTGCTGTTCTAATGCCCTGTGATTGGTTGAACTTTTCAGTTGGTAGCATCCTTTTTTTTTTTTTTCTTGTTACGCATTTAAAAAATTCTAGAATAGGGGCTGGGATTGTGGCTCAGCGGTAAAGCGCTCTCCTCACACAGGCGGGACCCGGGTTCGATCCTCAGCACCACATAAAAATAAAGGCATTGTGTTGTGTCCATCTACACCTAAAAAAAAAAATATTAAAAAAAAATTCTAGAATAGATACATCTTGCTAGTCTTATACCCACATATTCATTCCAAATGTTTTCTAAGAGTCATATTCTACATGCAGGAATCTATCACAATGCTCACAACATTGTGTCCATTCACCAACAGGGAGAAGGTTTGATGAGCATTCAACTGTAAGCACCTTCTAATTACTTCCATCAGTGGTTCATGTTGAAATTCTCTGACATAAGAGCATGGTTTTATCCAGCACAGAACAATGCTTCTCCCCTTGTATCTCTGTTATCCCGGGGATTTTGCAAAAATGCTCTCTAGGGTAAATTGGTCATCTACCCTTTGTTCAAAGGCTCAGTGCTGCATGAAGGTCTTCTCCTACCATGTGACAAGGGGCAGCGGTGCAGTGTTTCTGACATTTGTGTCTCCTCAGTTCTGCAGCTGGGTCAACTAATAGCACTTCTTCTTTTTTTTTTTTATTTTAGTTGACTTTATTTTTTCTTTTTTACAATAGTTTTTCATTCACTACAAAACTGAGTGGAAAGTGCAGAGATTTCCCATAAGCCTCCTGCCCCCACCTACCCTCAGCCACCCCCATTGTCAATATCCTCCCTGAGAGTGGTCCATTTGTTAGCAATCAATGAGCCTGAATGGATACATTATTATCACCCAAAGTCCATCATTTAAATAAGGGTTCACTCCTGGCACTGTGTAATCTATGGGTTTGGGCAAATGTATAATGACATGTTTCCACCATTATAGTATCATGCAGAGGTGTCTCACATCCCTGAAAGTCCTCTGTATATTGCACTTTTATATTATGTGACAATGACCAGAAAGGGTTACAGAACTTCCACAGCCGGCCTAAGGTGAGGTTTGAGGGGGACAGGTGAGAAAGAAAAAATGTTGCTCTCTGCTTTACCTGCCAACTGCGACCTTCAGTAGGCCAGCTGTCACAGGACTAGGAAGATTTGGAGATTGCCAAATGTCATGCAATATGGGTCTCTTTGTGTTTACCACTTATCATGTTAAGGTCAGAACAAATCCCACAACCTTTTACAGCAGGGCTTTATAAATAGGCTGTGTTGGGGAAAGGGGGGAATTATTGGACTGGGTCATCAAGGGAAAAATAGCAGGAGGTCTCCATCCTCCACCCTCCCATGAGGTGTGCCAGGGCAGGGCTCCCTGCAGAATGTACTCTGGGAGTCTGTATTCCATTGGAGGAATCAGCACCCTTGATACCCTTCCTTTTTATAGAGCAGATGTGAGGAAGCAGCCTGTTGCAGGGAAAGGCAGCCTGTGACAGGCTGCTGTTCACAGAGCTTGTCTGGAAATGCTGGTTGTCCTGCTGGTGGAAGCTTCATGGGGTTATGTGAGGAAGGGGAGAGAAGGGCCCCCTGAGCAACTGGTGTGAGTGGGAGATCTTCTACTGTGAGAAGGAGCATCCCTCCCGCTGGCCCATGGTCCTGGCAACCAAGAAAGAGCATCTGAAGTCACTTCAGGATCTTCTGACCATTTTACCACAGTGTGGAGGAGAGAAAATAGAGCAGGGCAAAGATGAATCCCACCCTCCCGCCTGCAGAATTGAGTGTCTAAGACTGAAGGAGGAAGGGGTGGGTTGAAAGAACAGGGAGCATGAAGGAAGTTTGTGGAAAAACTTTTTATATAAAAAAGTAGCTACCATTTCCTTAATTGCACAAATGAGAATGTGCTGAATACCAAACTAATAAGCCTGCCAGGTTCAAACCACCTCATCAGCTATTTTCCGATAAAATAGATTAGAAGATGAAAACCTACTAATTTATTTAAGAAAAGAAAAAAAAAATAATGTGCTCTTTTGCTCTAATCCCACTCTCAGAATAGACGAAGAAGCCCACGGTTTCAGCACTGTCATAAATTTGTTTAATATAGTTGGCCGGCATCTGTTTTTACTCCTGACATAAGTTAGTTGAAACCCAGTCCTCCCCAACTTCCCCTCCCTTTGTGGTGGTTTGCAATAGAGCCCACGTGTCACTCATCCCACAGACACAAGCCCAACGCTTCCCACAGCTGCTGACAGTGATAAACCCGATGGGCAACACGAGAGTCACGTGACTATGCCCCATGCACGGGCTTGCTTGGAGCCCTCCAATCTATAAAACCTCATGGAAGCCTGAGTGATGCCTGGGGACTTTAATAGGGCATGATCCCTGGGCTCCTCTCTATCTCGCTCCCCAGCTGCTCTCTGGGGACTCCCTGTTGCCTCCGGATGTCCCATCAGCCTCTTATCGCACTCCTGACCTCTCTGGGATATGTAAGTGATACATTTCTCTCTCTCTCTGTCTCTCTCTCTACTTTTGTCTCATTTCCTCATTGTGACTCCCCTAATGGATGTACCCAAAGCTAACCTTTATTGGCCAGGGCAGTACTGGAGAGTGGCTATCTTGGCTTATGTTTTGAAATAATAACAGGGTAAAAAATGTAAATGGTTATTAACAGGGTACTTATTACATCAATGGTTACATAATTACTAGAATATAATGCAGCTGTAAAAAAGATGAATATACTTTTTTATATTTAATGATGTCCAAGTCATTCTTACACAAAAAGGTAAGGTGCCAGTGTAGGTTCTATGTTATCATTAATGTATTAAAAGATGATTGTGGAGGGTATGTACATATAGTCATAGATGCAGAGAACATTTCTGGAAAGATATGCCTTCAGGAAGGAGCACTAGGTGGTTGGGGGTACAGGTGAGAGATTTCACTGAAATACATTTTGTTTCCAACCATGTGAAATGTATCATCTGCTTTGGAAAAAAAAAAAAAAAAGATTGTAAAAGAGCATATGAAACCTCAGATTTAATACCCCTTCCAGACAAAGACTTTCTGCATTTGCTCATGGCCTTTTGTCAAAATCTGTTATATCATTTTTCTGAACTCATTTCTGCAAGGCAATAAAGCTTACTTTTAAGTGTTGAGAAGGGAGAGGTTGAAGTCAGACAGACATATGCTGAGAACTGGCTCCACCACAACCTGGCTGCTGTGGGAACGGCTGTTCTACCTTTACGGGAATGTGACAGGAACACATTTCACGGGGCTTGTTGTGAAGTGTACGTCAGATACCCTATATAAAATCCTTAAGCTAAACTTTCCATAGAAATAAGTGCCCAGTGAGTGTAGCTCTTACTGCTGTTAAATGTAATTTAGTGGTGAGTTTTTGCTCTGCCATGCTGGATGGGAACATACCAAGAGGGTTTGAAGTTCAAGCAGACCTAAGGGCAATTTGGTCACTTTATTTTTCGGACCTCCTTGGTAAATATCAGTAAAGTCTAAAGATGAGAACTGCTTGAAACTATAGATAGTTATCTATAATAAGAATTTTCTATCGTTGCTTAAAAATGACTTCAAAATTTAGCAACACAAAACAAACATTTACATCCTTGCACAGTTCCTGAAAATCAGGAAACTGGTTTTCCAGCAGCTTAGCTAGATGGTTCTAGCCCAGGGCCTCTCATGAAGCCAGAGCGAGGCTGTCAGCTGGGCTGTAGTCTCTGAAGTCTTGGCTGGAGCCAAAGGATCCACTTCCAAGATGGCTTGCTCCAGGGCTGTTGGCAGGCGTCCTGGGTTTCTTGCCATGTGGGTTTCCCAGGGCTGCCTGGGTGTCCTCATAATGTAGAAGCTGGCCTCCTCTAGAGTGAGTGATCCAACAAAGAGCATGGGTGACTTACATGACACAGTCACTTCTTCCTTATTCTATTCCTAGATGCCAGTCACTAAATCCAGTCTACACTACTTAAAGGTTGGAAAATCTGTTTTTATCTCTTGAAGGCAAGAATGGCAAGGAACTCATGGACATGTTTTTTAAATGTCCAGAGAGGCCAGGGATGTAGTTCAGTGGTTGAGTGCTTGCCTAGCATGCCTGAGGGGCCCTGAGTTCAATCCCAGCACCCACACACAGCAAAAACCAAAACCACAAAAGAGTAGCCACATAATTTATCATTCAGACTTAGATACTTTTAGGAGTGAATATTGGCTTTATTAATAATGAACTGGACAATGAATGTAACTGGAACCCTCCTGGGCAAACCAAGATGTGTAGTCACTGAGGTATGTGTCTTCCCACAACCTCTCATGTACTTAAGCCTCAGACCAAGATACATGTACCAGTATCTATTATAAGCAGACTAATTCCAAGGCAAAATGAAAACTACTTCTTCTTTTAATTGGAAGAAAAGTGAAGTTCATAATTGAAACAGAAAATAAAACACTCCATTAAGGAGAAGAGTGCAGGACAAGGTTGCAAATTTTAAAGTCTTTTCTCAAGGTGTTTGGCTGCTAGGCTCCTTGGGTTCTCACACACCTGTTCATCTGAGAGTGAGGAGGCAGCACTCATTTCACTGTGGAAAATGGTCTTCTACTCTCCCTTTACAGCTCTCTAAGTGAAGATTCAGTTAACAATTTTTGAAGCTCTTGCAGAAATGTCAACCAGAGTAAGGCACTTTCACATGCAATCCATCTTTCAAGTGTGAATGTATGATTGGAGGACTCTGGGTGTTAAACATCTCCTTGGGTATGGATTAAAGCCAATTTAAACACACACCTACATATCACACTATCTATGCTGAAGTACTTAAAGTTTCAGACAGTATGAAAAAAACTCAATAGCTGGGTTCCTAAGCAACCTTTAGTTTTTAACAATTCCATTATGAAGAACAATCATTTCCAAGGGAAAATGAAAGTTGAAGGCTAGAGAGATTGACTAATAATAACAAGTTTTTCTTGCAGAAATTTCTATGCATTTTCTTTCATATGTATATAATCTTTTTCCCCTTCATTGAAGTATGATTGACAAGTAAACATTGTGTGTATTTAATGTGTACAACATGCTTTAATATGAATATACAATGTGAAATGGTTTTCCTAATCAAGTTACTCAGTCACTTTTTTATGGTAAGGACACTTAAGATCTTTCAGCAAATTTCAAGTATATAATAAATAAACTATAGTTGCCATTTTATACATTAGATTTCCAGAAGTTAGTCAAATTCTAACTGCAAATGTGTTCCCTTTGACCAACACCCCACAATTACTGTTCTATCTGCCTCTATGAACTCAACTTCTTTAGATACTGATTTTTTTTTTAGGTTTTAACTTAAGTGAAATCATACACTATTTATCTTTCTATGCTTGGTTGATTTCACTTTGCATCATGTGGTTTAGGTTAATCTGTATTATTGCAAATGGCAGGATTTGTGATCCATTTATCTATCAAAGGAAACAGATATTTTCATATCTTGGTGATGGTGAATAAGGCTGCAATGAATATGGGGGTTCAGATAGCTCTTTGAGATATTGACTTTATATCCTTTTGGTAAATACACAAAAGTAGAATATTTGATCATACAGTAGTTTTATTTTTAGGATGTGTGTGTGAGAGAATTTTCATATTATTTTTCATAATGCTGTACTAATTTACATTCCCTCTAATAGTGTACAGTGTTCTCTTTTCTCTATATCCTTGCTGACACTGATTTTTTTAGGCTATTTCTTTTTAGATATACATGACAGTAGAGTAAATTTCTTGACTTTTTGAAAATAGCTATTCTAACGTATGAGATAATATCTTGTGGTTTTGATTTACATTTCCCTGAGGATTAGTGATATTGGACACCTTTTCATATTGCCAATGGCCATTTTTATGTTGGGAAAATATTTATTCAAAGGATCTTTGCCTATTTTGGGGGGGTGGGAAAGGGAAGACATTGAGTTATGAGTTTTGCTGTATTCCATAAGTTTTGGCATGAGGAGTTTTCATTTTTGTCTATCTTATATATATTTTGATTTCTTCTTTGATCCACTGTTCAGGAATGTTTTGTTTAATTTCTACTTAGTAAATTGTTCATTTTTCCTCTTTATGATGTTATCGCTTTTATCATTTATTCGTACTACAAATAAAATTGTAAAGCACCCATTCAAACAGAGTAGCTTTTGTTATAGTCCTTTCCCACCCCTTGGTTCTTGCTTCTGATTATGAAGCACTATCACAAAAGTAGCATGTGCCCTACCTTTTTTATGGTGTCACAACCTCCTCACCTTTCTAAAAGCTAATATTAAGGGAGAAGTGCCTTTTAAACACTGTTATACAACCTAGGCAATAATTTATTTCTTTTGTACCAGAATTATACCCAAGGGTGCATTCATAGAGCCACATTACCAGGCCGTTTTATTTTTTATTTTGAGACAGGGTCTTACTAGATTGTTTACAGCCTCTCTAAGTTGCTGGGGCTGGCTTCAAACCTGTGATCCTCCTGCCCCAGCCTCCTGAGTTGCTGGGATTATAGGTGTGTACCACTGTGCCCAGTAGCTAGGCAATATAACACAGTGAAACCCAGTAGAAAAATAACATGAGCCACATATATAACTTAAAGTTTTCTAGTAGCCATATTAAAAAGGAAAAAAAATAAACAGGTGGTTAATGTTTTATAATCTAGTTAATGTATGACATAACATTTCAATATATAAATCAATAAAAAATGACATTTTACATTTTCAAAATTTAGGTGTTCCAAATCTGGTGTGAATTTACATTTGCTGTAAGTTTCTGCTTAAACTAGCCACATTTTGAGTGCTGAGTATTTCAGTGACTTGTGGCTTGTGGCTAACATATAGGAGAGCAAGCCCTAGCCTACCATGGTCCCTTCAGTTCCTATCAACCACGTGATTCTTCCCTGCTATAATCTGAATGCCTGGGTTCCCCCAGAATTCACATAGTGAAATCCTAAACCTCAGCGTGGTAATGTTAGGAGACAGGGGTCTTTGGAAGGTTATTAGATCATGAAGGGTTAATCCTCATAATTGGGATTAGTGTCCTTATCAAAGAAACTGGAGAGAGCTAGCTACTCCCTTCCTTCATGTGGGGATGCAGCAAGAAGCTTCCATCTATAAACCAGAAAATGGCCCTCATCAGACACCACATCTGCTAGTACCTGGATCTTGTACTTGACCATATCTAGAACAGTGAGTAATCCGTTTGTTAATTTATAACTCACCCAGTTTATAATGTTTTGTCACTGCAGCTGAAATGACTGAGACATTTCGAATTCATCTGCTTCATATTTGACACACTTTTTCCTTTCCTAAAAAACTCCTTTCCTTATCTGAGTATTTTAAATTTTGCCTACCTTCCAGTGTCATCTCAAATGTAAGAGAAAATTTTTCCAGTTGGATGAGATGTGCTCACACATCCTAATCTGCAAAGATTATAATAAATTATGTATCATTCATGTGTTCCTTTTTATTGTCTTTAAGAGAA